CGAAGAACGCAAATCCTGGCAGCAACAGTGCACTCAGCAGGTACTAGTGGTTATTATACTTTCCAAACCCAATTAAATGTCCATTATGTCTTTCATTCGGCAACCATGGGTATACTCTGACCTCACCTTTGATAGCATTCTTTTTTTACGCCACTATTCATATATATGATTTCGTTTATTTCCCTTCAAAGTTAATAGATTTGTGCCATAACTACTATTTGATGTGCCGGATACTTAATTGATATGAGCCTTTTTGGTTTCCCAAAAATATAATACATTTTCATTAACAAATGCTTATGGCTTTTTTTTTTATTTGGACCAAATGCTATTTTATGTACTCAAGATATCCCCTCCATTTTTTAGCATCTCATATTAGTGTATTTTATTTATAGGGCTTTAATCCACACTCCAACGGTCCCTATCCTTGGTCTGGAAATCAGGCTCATTGGCCTGGAGACTCAACCTTTGACGTTCCTCCTCCGGGTAATTGGGGGCAAAGTGGACAAATGTGGAATCAAAATGGACCTCCAGGCTGGTCACCCGGTTTCCTAGATGGAAGTTCTCGGCCGCCTGTTTTCTCCGGACCAGCAGCTTTCGTAGCACAAGGCACCCAGGCACCTTTTTACCCACCTACAAACCAGCCAGTGGATCCCGCTCATGCAGTGATTCCCCCCAACTTATCAATGAAGGATGTCGAGCAAAGTGAAGCAAATCTTAAGGCTCAATACGAATCAATTATGACTAAACAGAATAGCGAGATTGCAGACTGTTTAGATTCATACAGAGAAGAAATGGTCAAAATTCGTGGTGACGAAATGGATATGCCTTGGGCTGAAATGGACAAGGTTCCTTTGCTCATTTTATCTTATCTTATTGTTGCTAATTCTAATTGCTCTTATATTTTTAGATAATTCAACCCTTGATAGAATCATGTACTAAAGAAAACATTGCTCGAGGAAAGACGTGGGTTATAGATAGAATGGCCAAAACTCCAGAGTTAACGAAGCTGATGACAGATTATCTTATTGCCAGAGTTGCGGCAAGGCATGTATCATTTGATCTTCGACTCCACATCGTATATTTACTCAATGATTTGCTGCACCATTGCAAACGACGTGGTGCGCCACCGCACTTGAAGGTTGGAAACTTTACATACTTGCTTGTTTCATCATTATTTATTGACAAATCCCTAACAATCCACTCTTTCTTACCCAGAGTGCCTTTAGGGATCTGGTGCTTCCGTGCTTCTGCCTTGCTATGGATCTGGCAGATGCTGATCGCAAAATAAAATTGGTGCGTGTGCTTGATCTTTGGGTCAAAAATGAATATTTGGAATCTGAATTGCTCGACTTAATGCGTATCCCCAAATCGGAGGAATTTCTCTCTAAATGGCTGGAGTCCCAAAGAAAGGTACATTCTATGCTATATTTATTTTTGGTCTGCCCTGGTATTCATACTTGTTGCTTTGATTCGCTAATCCTCTCTCGTTGCATATATTTTGTCTCAATGATTTCTTTGTATAGCAAATACCTATTGTTTATCCTTATATTGAAAAATTTATCGTGATATTTTCAATTTGCAGTATTGGTGTATGGAGCCTTTCTCGCTTTTTTATATGCAGTATCTTTCGTTACCTTAAAATACATTTTTATTCTTTCCTATATCAATTTAACTACGATTTAGAAATCATACTCTGACTTGAATCACTCTTCATCTGCTGACATTCATTTATAATCTTTATTAACAATAGCTCTAACTTTCAACTCTTGGTTTCATTGAACCTTATTGGCTCTTTAGTCATTATTGATTAATAAGATCCTATTATTTACCCATAAAAAATTAGATGTGTGAAACACGTGAAACTGAGATACGCGAGCGATACCAAGCTGAATATGCAAATCTTGAGCAACAGCATAATGAATTTGCGGCTCACGTGCGGCGTGTTCTTGATGAGCAGCAGCAGCAGCAGCCACCGCCTATGCCTGGTGGAAATTTGTATGAGGGACAGCAACACCAGGTGAGTTCAGACTCCTGCAAATTGAGTGACTGGCTTCTTGTTCGTTTCAAAGCTTCCTCTTCAATATATTTCTAAAGCCATTTTTTGAACAGATGGATAAAATCAAATTTCTTTAGCTCAACAACAAAAAAGCAACAGGTTGACTTCGTTTTTCTTGGATTCTGGCATTTTGCTTGTTTTTTATTTTTTATCTTTCTTAAAGCCGCCCTACAACATGTGGATGCATGGCCCCTTCCAAGGCCCTCCTCATCAACAGGGTCCTCCCCCACATCACATGGGTCCTTATCCTCCACCACATGGTGGGCCGCCGCCCTTTGACATGGGCCCGTTGCCTAGGCACTCAATACATGACCAGCGGGGTGAACATCCTGGGAGTGGAGGCGGGGGGCCAGGTTTCGATGGCCCCTATCGTCATACTCCTCATCACCAGGGCCCTCTGCCACCATTTGGACCACCTCGATTCCGTGGCCCACATCCGGGCCACTTTCATCCGGGCCATCCGGGTCATCATCCTATGTCTCCATGGGCCGGGCCCCAACAACCTCCATTCCCACCCCATCCCGGCTTCAGAAACGACTTTGCTGGTGACGATGAAGATGGGTGTTATTATGACGACAGAAGCCAAGCGGATTGGGACGGTAGCTGTGGTGTTAGAGGTCGGGATCGCGACAGAGATCGTTGCGGGGATTGGGACAGAGACCGTGACAGAGAGGATGATCGCTTCGATAGACGCCGTGGTCGCCTTGATGCTAGAGGAATACGAGATATTCATCGAGGTAAATCATTTTATCTCATATGAATCCAGCTTTAGCAACGCTAATTAATTTTCTTGAACTTCTGTAGATAGGTATATAGTTTTATGAAGGTATGAATACCAAGATCGTGTTGCCCTTTGACCAAACGTTTGCTAAACAGTTGTGGTATCTCCTCTTCTGCTCCGGGCTATTCACATTCCCTTTATCCTCCTATCATGCCTTCCCTGTCACAATTTTGACCGTGCTTATTTTTAGTGTAGTGTGGTGCGCTCCTTCGAACGGCATTCATGATAACCCTTGACACTCCACACTGTCGTTATGACCCTCTTCACCCTTTTGCTGGGAATGTTGACCAGAGTCTGTCATATTGTTACGTAGTCCTTCCCAAAGGGACACTCATGAGGAGACTATACAGAAAGAATTAATATGCAGGATTACTCCTTACTTTTCAGCCCCATCATAACTACAGACTAAAGATAGGAATACTGAAGAGTTTGATCATCAGAAGCTTACGACTAACGGACAATGAGTTCTGGGACGAGGAGCTGGACAAACTGACACTGATTTGCCTTAGTAACGGATACCCCAGAGCATTTATAGAAAAAAATGTTGAAATTATAAAGGGCCGATTTGAACTTGGATTCTATGAAAATCAGATCAGGAATCAGGATGACAACAAAAAGTGGATTTGCCTGCCCTCATCAGAACTGAATCGACAATTTCGACGGTTACTAACGAAATAAAATATCAGGGTGATAACAAAGGAGAAAACACTTTTCACCAGTCTGCCGACGCAACACGTGAAGACGGACAAACATAATTGCTCGGGAGTTTATCGTATCAAATGCAGCAACTGTGAGCAGAAGAATATTGGTGAAACAGGAAGAAAAATCTGACTACGAATCAAGGAGCATCATAGACTCTGCAGGAATATGGATACGAAAAGATCCGAAATAGCGGAACGCATTGCACGAACGGGGCACAAAATCGACCGAAAGGTTGGCTGCATGTGGTGAAGATACAAGAAAACGCAAG